TGCCAAGGTGCCAACGGGTGACCTGCGGGCAGGGCGAGGCCCGAGTCCTCCCTGGAGAGAACACCCAGTGGGGTCCCGTCCCCGCGGCGCTGGTGCCAGTGCTTCCCCTGCACGTCGGCCGGTCTGGCAGCTGACCTCACTGAGGAGCAAGCGAAGGCCCCGCAGTGCTGTCCGCACCGGGTCTCACTGCCACGGCCGTGGTAAGACGGCCCGTGACACCTGCGCCGTGTGCGGCCGTCCTCACTGCGGGGCTCTGCGAGGCGATGTCTTCTCCTCAGCGCCTGCTGGGCGTGTCGACTTTACTGACTCCAGGTAGTTTCATGGTCACGCGCAGGTGCGGATCTAGAAAATGTTCAGTGTAGCCTCAAGTTGTGCGACCACGATGTGTAATAAAGAATTGGAAACAATTTTAAAGAAGAAAGAAAGGAAGTGGGGGAGAGCGGTGAGGACAAAAGGGGCCCTGGGGTGGCTGGCGATGGCGCTCCCAGGGCGGCCCGGCGATGACGGCGGGATGGGGCGTGGGCCTGTGTGGCCGCTCCCTGCACTTCGACCTTCTCCGAAAGCGAAGGCCTGCGCCGCCCTCCATCCCCCAGCTCTCCCTGTGGCTCTGTCCTGGAGACGCCTGCGGACACAAACAGGTAGTGACTCAGTGGACTTGGCTTCCTGCCGAGAGACCAGGCTTTCAAAGTTTAGGGAAACAGCCTTCGTGCAAGGCCTGGTCAGTGGGCTGGCGGCCGTCCGCAGCTCTTTGTTGATGTTCTCACTTCCCTTCCCAGATAGCGGCTCTGGAACAGCGCCTCCGGGGTCATGCACCTGGCGACTGTGGAGTGGCACCACTGCTGTGTGTGCTGCCTGGGACCCGGTGGGCACAGCACAGCCAGGCTGTGCCTGCATGGAGGCGGGGGGAGCTCTCAGGCAGGCAAGCAGGACGGGCACCACGCGGGCCTGGCAAGGACTCCCAGGTGTGGTCACCGAGAACCCAGAAAGCAGGCGACTCCTGGAGAGAAGAACATGGAAGGAGGAGGGAAGCAATGGATTGGTTTTGAACTTTTCAAACAGAAAAGATCAAGTCTGACGTTGTGAATGATGGAGTGAGGACGTGCAACCAGCTAGGGTCTGGGGGGATGGGAGAGTGGTGGGCGTCACTAAGTGGAAATTAAGTATCTTCATTCAAACCTGTTTGGGTGGTGAGCATGCTGGAGGGAATCAGTCCCGCGGGGCAGTCGGGAAACCGTTTCTGGTGTTGCAAGCTCTTCCTGCCGCACCTAAGTAAGCTCCTCTCCCAGCTGCCCGGCCCAGCAGCTCCCCTGGCGTCTCAGACCATCCTCAGCCTCTCGGCCCCCGGGCC